ACTAATAAGGGCTCTATTGCTACTTGATTAAAATGTAAAATACAGTCAAAAATCAAAACGACATTATTTACAAAAACAAAGACATTACATGCGGTAAATGACAAAAGGGTCACGAAATTAGCTTTTGCCATGGAACGCAGTGCGTGTCCAGCACGATTATAAGTTATAGCATTAATACAATTTATGTTTTTTATCATAGAGCTGTCACAGTCTTCCTTTCTCGCTTGCACCAAGTACACTAACTAGCAATATTTACGTAAATTGGTAATTTAATTACTGTTATCCAATCGCAATCGCGTTGAACTGTCATGTGATTTACGAGAAATAAAAAGATTTGGAATAAAGTGGTTTTTTCATAAGAGTGATGGAGACAATTGCTCAGTACACAGCAATTTGCTGACGGTAAAGAATTCGGGGAGGAGCAGCTTGCCTCGTCAGACAAAAACGTCAGGCGTTTTATATGGAAAAACTAAACTTAGCACGACTTGATTGTCGGATGAAATAGTCAGGCTTTTCGTTTGTTTAAAATTAAATGAAAATGTTGTTGTTCATATAGACTACTTTACTTGATTGATGATGAATGAATGATATTGTATTGCATGGATTTTCAACATTGGTATGTGTAGGGTTATATTATTATTATTGTTTTCTCGTCACAGGGAAAAACATTGAGACTCGGTGCGGTCTCGGCAATTCCGGGAAAAACGAGACTTTCGAGAGTATTTCAAAAGTAGGTTTCAAATATTGTAGTCATTTACGTGATCCAAACAATGATATCAAAAATTGTGAAATCAAAATATGCTTATGGAAGTTTATGACCAGGCGAACTAAGTAAGTCAGTCGGTGGAGCACTAATGGGTGTTAATTATACTTATAATAATAAATTTATTCATAGAATTTAAACGTTACATAGTATAAAAAGTGCAAAATAAAAGGTACAGCCATTATCAGAACATAATAATATGAAAGGTGGTTCGTGCGTGCGTGCGTACGTGCGTGCGTGCGTGCGTGCGTGCGTGCGTGCGTGCTTGCGTGCGTGTGTGCGTGCGCGCGTGTGTGTGTTCGCGCGTGCGTATGCGCGATTTATAAACAGGGCACAGAGATATTTCATACAAACTACGACGTAAGTAAATACTTATAACAGAGACTAATACAGAACAGAAAAGACGCGCGCACATGAAAACTCGAACCAGTGTTAAAGACGGACTCTCTAGTCACGAATACTAACTGGGGCGCGCGGGGGTGCGGGTAGGTAATCACGCATAAGACAGAAGTTACCGCAAGTCGTTTCGTTATATACACTTCGAATAAATAATCAGAAATAGAGACGAAATAAGGGCTGTACATTCCTGGTAACTCGTCAGTGACACTATAATAAATATATATTTACTCTCGTTTGCACTGAAATAAAGACAGGCCAACAACTGACCTGTGTGTACGTCTCCGTACATTCCAAAAATATTCTGTATTTATTGTAATAAAGATAATATCTCTAACAATGGCGTGCTGTTCCATTCGGTGGTGTGGGGAAAAACAGTAAAACAACTAATTACAAACAAACAAAATCAAATTTCACCGGTAATTAAATATTAAATATGCAATTTTGGAATTTTCGTCCATTACAGCAAAGCTCAAGTTAACTGGACGATTTCAAGTGAAACAATTGAGGACACCCATTGACGATTCCCGTCAATAGTTTCGAATTCGGGTTGTCCAATCGGAGCGCAGTTGTCACAGTAATAATATCGCAGGATAGTTTTCAAACAAATTAAATGACATTCGTCTCTATTTCTGGTTATATTCTGGATGTTACCATTTGATCATGAAAAAGTGATATTTTGGCAAAACAGGGTCGATGGCGAGAACCGCCATTTGCATTCGGAAAGAATAATCTATGTAGTCACTCGAGGATGGGTGGTCGTCGCCATGTCGGGTACGACGCTTGCAAGTACTCTTCTGACGCGCTAGATGGGGTTGACACTCTGTAAGTTGCAATATTTATTTACCTCTTTTTTTGTGAAAACACTCCAATACTTTGTTGTTATAATAGATAAAAAGATCAAACAAAATCAAAGAAAAATTCCTTCGACCCGGCTCGACATGCACCGGCAACATTCAATCAATTTATACTTATGATATGAAAGTGTTTGTTGTTTCATTTTTATAGTAAACACGTAAGAAACGAGGATGTTTAATATAAGTAGTTTCATGTAGAGCACCTGATTTTTATAACTATCGTTCTTCAATTTCCACAAATTATACTACGCTTCATTTTAGATGGTCGCCACGTCCATGTAACCAGAAAAAATAGCTGTTGATTAAGTAATATTTTAACACTGTTCAGTCAAGTGATTATGTTTCAAATATCTCATATTCCCAAGACTGAAAACATTTGTCTCGAGTCACGAAAATGCTTAAAAAGTTAATGTAAATTTGTTAAATTACACATAGACTTTTTTATGAAACCGAGTAAAGGGACGAACAAGTCGTGCGTCCTGATTGTAAGCGACACGTCTGTCCGTAACAGTTGTAGTGACACTCAGAGCTTCAAATCGCAAAGATCTAAGGGGTCTAACTACCGAGTGCAAGTCCTATGTGCCTGTAATTTCACCGGCACCCTTACCCTTCAAAATTTAAATGTAATAATGTTCACATTTACTGCTTGGTGGCAGAAATAGTCAAGGGGGAAATACTTCTCAGGACTAACTCGGTTTTTTCACTAACTAACTCTTTCACAAGGAGCAGCTCTACTGCTACTTAGTATATATAATGTAATCTCAGTACAGAGTGCTAAAACAACCGCCCTCAAAAGTCATTCATCCCTTAGAACCTCCTCCTTTTTTTTCTTAAGTTATAAAAAAATAAGATTATTATTGGCTATTATAACACTTCTGTATTACATTATTCAAAGTACATCTTGCTGGTTTCACGCATGCACGATCGGAGACTGCTTGGAAAAAGACAGGTAAGGCAAACGTTATTTGAATTTGAATCTGTGGAATAGGTTTATTATTACAGCCCGTTGCCTTACGCGCAAAAAGACGTAAAAACGCGAATTCTTTCTTCTTTCTCAAAAGTGCTTAATGGAGGTAAAGCCGAATCTACATTTGTCTGACGTGTCGTGTCGTGTAACGTCAGAACGGTCATTTATATTAGTGTGTCACAATCTGACGTGACGGCTTATGTTGTGTGTATGAAACCGATACCGTTCTGACGCGTCACGACACGACACGTCAGACAAATGTAAATCCGGCTTAAGACGATGTCCCCACCGAATAAACATGTATTGCCTAAACGTTTATTACGCACTAGCTTTTCACTAGGTTCTCCATACAAACTTTCATCCTCTATTACACCCCCCTTAAGATTTATTTTTGTGTCTACGTCCTTCTCCCAGGTCCCATATATATCTCTATTACAAAATTCATTAAAATTTTACAGCGGTTTGGTGTGAAAACGTAACAGGCAGTTACTTTCGCATTTGTAATATAGTTTTGGATTCTACAAGTTTATTCGGGGGGATGTCCACTTCACTGTTGTTTAATGACATATTAATTTTGTTATATTCGTGAAAATCTCTTTTTTAATTTTTATTATCTCTTTTCAAAAATTCAACCTGATGGAAATTGTTTTTTGTTATTAAAACTTAGGTATTACATAATTCACTTAAATTATTTTAATTTAATATTACATAATTCACTTAAATTTGATTATTATAGTACGCTGCATAATTAATAAGTTGCTTTCTTCCTGAAAATCAAACTTTAAGCGCGTCAAAATAGTAATAATATAATAATAGCATATACCTATAGTGTGAACCTTGCTTACAAATAACTAAGTACCCTTGGAATAATAACGCATAGAAACCTAGTCCGCACACGCTAAGTGAGGCAAATTGAAGCGCTCCCAATGGGCCTACACGAGCGGGCGGGTCTTCAGTGCTCAAGGTCAACTTGCACCGCGAACAGCTCAAGAATTTTAGCTAAAAACTACGGAATGTGCGGTAAATGAGTGTAAAAATACGTCAGACAAACATAAAATAGATACTACTTATACTTACTACACTTTTGAGGGAAATGTTATTCCATGACATCATTAAATGTACATTTGTGTGCGTGCCGACGAGTGTAGATACAAGTTGCTTACGCCTACGTGAATTTGATTTTTGCCTCACTTGCGACAGTTCGTTTGATATGAAACTATCATTCTATGCGTTATTATTCTAAGTACCAGTATAAAGTTAATTTTAAATATTAAAAAGTGAAACATTTCTCCAAATTCACCCATTACACTCGGCACAGCTTCGCAAGGTCAATTAAGTACCTACGTACTCAGGAAGCCTATTTATCTACCACTACCACTATAAATGATTCCCACCAATACATAAGCAAATTATAATAGGTACGTACATAATAAATACAGTGGTACTGTATTGCAAAAGGAATCTAGATATTTTAAAGTGATTAAAAAAAGAAAGAACCCATTTATATTATTTCGATCGGCATGAAAAAGTCCAAACAATCTATTTAGCTTCACGGAGGTTTTTAAAATTTAAGCGGGATTTTAAGAGCCAATCACAAGCCAAGCAAAAAATAATGTTTTCTTTGATCTGTTTCCGAATATTCTATTGGCTCCCAGGCTACTCCGTTTTACAAAGAATAATATTAGAAAATTCTGTAGTAGTAGTAACCAAAATATTTTGTGTAATTAATTATATTCAAAAACATATTTTACCTTCAAACATGCTTCATTTATAATGGGAATTATAGAGTTAACTGTAAAAAGTAATTTCCAAGTATTTCTGCTGACCTAAAAAAAAAAATCACTGCGTTCCGTATTACGTAGAAAAGAACGTACTCTATTTGCATTATACATTGCGTTACCACTGTTTGATGATGACATCAATTCATATTACTAAAGAAAAGTGGTAGTGCATTAACAACTATAGTAGAATAAAATTATCTGTTTTGATAGCATAGGAAACGCATTAACGTGAATTGCTATGCTTGTCATTGTCACCGTTGCCGAAAACTTGTAATATTTTTTCATTATTTAGCGAATAATATTTGATATTATTTATAAAATACAGTAAATTAGTGCGTTCAACAGCTAAAACCACAATGAGTTCCATCGGTACTGGTGTAAGTATTCCTTTTGGACGTGAAATCATTCCATAGGTTATAAACATTTTTAAGTTTAAATTTCTTTACAAATTCGGTGTTTTTGTCGTAATTACTACAAAATATTATTATTTTACGGCATGATGTAGCCCCCAGGATAGGTTTTATAGAAAAATTTACACAAATACATAGTGAAAAACATGCTAATTCATCGTTCATGTTGCATTATTTCAGTATGACCTGTCTGCCTCACAATTCTCTCCCGACGGCCGGGTTTTTCAAGTGGAATATGCGGCAAAGGCAGTAGAAAATTCTGGAACAGTCATAGGACTCCGTGGAAAGGATGGAGTGGTCTTTGCTGTAGAAAAACTGGTAACTTCAAAACTATATGAACCCGGTGCGAACAAGAGGATTTTCCATGTTGATGAACATGTTGGAATGGTAAGTTAAAATTGCAATACATTTACTCGACAACAGAAGAAAAAATATTCTTCACATGACCAATTAAACAGTAACATGATAGTAGCCAAACTTAATTGAAATCATAAAAATAATAAAAACTACATGAAACAAATTGTGTATTATGTGAAATTTTAAAACTCATCTATGAACCCAGTCCTGCATCCAACCTCCGAGAGTCAAGACAAATGACCACATAATAATATTGGTCCGCAAGTGTGGTTCAAACCAGCTAACAAGTTGAGAAAAAGAAAGAAAATAATAATAATAATAGCCCCACATTAGGGAAACCATGTGTTGTGGATGCCATGGACACACACATAGATAACCACAAATTACACCCAAACTCACGAGAGAAATAAATGTAGGCTATATAAATATACTAGTACTAGTACTACTATACTAGTACCTGGAACCTCTGTATGGTAGTCCGGCATGGTAACCATTCAGCCACTGAGGCAGTTTATGTACTTTTACTTTTTGCTATAATTAATTGTACAAGCTTACTAACATCTATAATTAACAAAAATAATGTTCCAATTACCCCCTTTGAAGGAGTAACAATAGGGGCTAATTGGGGGTCCATATAATGCCACTGCTAGTAAATGTTGTGGACACATGATTACTGTTGTATTTATCTCATAAGCTTGTTTGTAATGTTCTGTGATTCAGCAAATAAACAGGTTATCTATCTACACACGTAGGTCATAGGACAAGCCAGGAATTAAGTGTAAAAAAGTTGGTGGCTAATTTCTTGCTAGAATATTTGAACCCCTTTGGAAAGTTGTCATTTTGCAGATGTCAATGATGCAGTTACACCAACTTGGATGTCCAAACTGCTGTTCAGTTGTAACAGCTATTGTTGTGTTGTTGTAATGCAGTCCATGTACAGCTCCTATTACTAAACCTGTTATCTCTTGTTTTTTATGTTTATTTTGTATAACACAAGTTTAGTTCCAGTGCTCATCATACAATCCTATTAACATAAATAACATATTGCACATTACAGGCAGTAGCTGGTCTAATCTCAGATGCAAGACAAATTGTAGAGACAGCTCGCACGGAAGCATCAAACTACAGATCCCAATATGGTGTCCAGGTCCCATTGAAGTATTTGAATGAACGTGTCTCTATGTATATGCATGCATATACATTATACAGTGCGGTACGCCCTTATGGGTGTTCTGTTGTCATGGGAACATGGTCTGATTATGAAGGCCCGCAAATGACGTTGGTGGACCCTAGTGGAGTTTCTTTTGTAAGTATTAATTTTAATAATAATAATACCTTAATAACAATGAAAATAATAATTCGTTATTTCCTTAAAATATTGTATAACAGAAGATTTATTTAATAAGAGATAGGCCCAGTAAAAACATCTTTAATTATATTAAATAGCATGCAAATGTCTAATTGCAATAGTTCTTATACTTTATGCAAATTCAATTGACTACCACAAAACTAAGAATATCAAAAGATACAATTTTACATCTTATTTCCTGCCAAATGTTTTGTTTGTCATGAAAATTGTTTTCTTTTAACTATTTGTAAAGTTTCTTTTAAATAAACACAAGTCTAATAATTTATCTCAAGTGGTATTTTATTATACTTCGTTTGTTATTAAGTTTTGAGACAAAACATTGCAACATACGCATTCTGGCCAATCTTAGATTGCAGCGTGACTCTTCTCTAGTGAGATTTGGATCGCTCATTTGATGAGAGCCCGATTTAGAGTATCCAACTTTAGGTGGGACTATTTGCAAGCCCTGAACTCCAATTCAGTCCACAGAGAATAGTCAAGTGGGTTAATTCAGGATTGGAGGGTGGCCATTCCTCAGTCGCATGAAGCCTGGAAAATTTTCCCTTAACCAAGCTTGAGTTGTTTTAGCCTTATAAGCTAGTGCTGAGCCTTGCTGAAAAATCCATTGTTTGTTGTGAAATAAAGTATTAGACAGGAGTTTCACCACAACCTCTAAAATGTCACATATTATTTTTTACTTTCGCCATTAACGCCTTCTTGGCAAAAATGGCGCGGTACTCTCGCCAGATGATGAGTACACGAAACATTTCGTGCATAGACTTTATGGTTTTGTTGGATGAACTTTCTTCGACGGTAAAGATTTTTCGTCGGTGAAGAGTATCTTTTTTGTATCGTGTGATCGTGTCTCCTAAGCGGCATCGGACAACGTATGCGTCGTAATTTACGAAGGCGATCATTTAAGAAGTAAACTTTCCTACGACTACGACAGGCCTTTACCGATACACGCGAAATCGTCTACAAAACAAGTTTTTTCTCCGTGCGACATGGATTTCGGCGAAGTAGCTCCCTGTACAGCTAGCACGACTAGGAGCAACTTGCGGAAGAGCGACATATAGCGCGGGATCACTTTGTGAGATACATATAGAGATACGCTCTCGCGCATGTCGCGCCCTATTGTGCTAGCCCTATTGACTATTTTGAAGTTTGCGGTCGTCCTTACAGACCGCGGACTACCACTTTGGCGATCTTTCAGAGAATATGTCTTTTATGTAACGTTTTATATGTAATATAATATGTAGCGAAATTACAGTAGCACGTAACTCTTTAGTTCTTTCCATCACGAGAAAAATAAATTTAAAAACGTGTAAAAAGAACACAAACATTACAAATTCAATATTGATAAAATAATTAAACAGCTGCTAGAATTATTTTGTAGTCTTTTTTAAAGACAAAGTTTATCTCAATATTTACACACGAACACTCGAGGTATATGTCAGCACGCATTTTTAAACAACTTTTGCTTTATTTAGCAGTAATAAGACAGTCCTGTACAAGTCTATTTGATCAATGATCGATAATTTAGAGAACGTCAAAAGTTAAAGCCAAACTACTACTGTAAATATCAAATTACTCTTATATTTAAAAATAATATTTTAATTGTAATAAATTACTTATAAAAACCTTATCATATACAAAACTTGGGTTTTCTTCTTTGGATTTACCAAAAGGTGTAGAACAGTGGTTGGAACTTTGAAGGTCCAGTTAGTCCATTAACTTTTGTCATCTTTATAGACGACCTGTATTGATATGATTGTATCCATGTGAATTGTCATATCGTATTATCAATAATTATCTCATGTTATTTATAATTCCATGGATGATATATAAAAAAAATATATGCTCGCTGACCGCTATGAGATTGACCTATTTGCTAATTCCTTTGGACAACTTCGTAAGAAGGCCAACATGGTTTTAAAAGACAACTTTTTACGTATAGGAAGTTAAAAAAAATAATAATAAAATAATAATAACGCACACACTCAACATAGCCCCGCACTAGGGAAATCCTGTGTCGCGGGTGCTATGGACATACACATAGACAACCACAAATTACTCCCAAACTCACGAGAGAAATAAATGTAGGCCATATAAATATTTCTCCCGGGTCGGGAATCGAACCTGGGACCTCTGCGTGGCAGTCCGGCAACCGTCCGGCCGTGCAAGCAGTCAATTAGTAGTTATTAAATATGTAAACGTTTTGGCATTTTTTAAGTTGTATTAGTAGTTTTAATTTAATTCTATCTTAATTTTATATTGTTGTATCTTAATGTTAATTTAAGCTTGTGGATGTTTTTCTTCTTGCTGTGTGAGCCTACTCGCACTGTTGAAAATAAATAAATAATATAATGATGTATGATATGAAAAATATGTCCACAATCAACCACTATTGAAAGTCTATATCGACTGTGAACTGGCAACCAGTACTAACTCAATTTTGATAACTATACAAGATGAAGAAACAATAATTTATATAGCATCTGGTTTATTAAATAAAAATACGTAGTGTACATACATACATGTTTAATAAAAATATTTTATTTAAAAACCAGAATTTTTCTTCGAAAAGAAAGTTGTCAAAATTGAGATAGTACCAATCGGCCAGTTCACAGACGATATATTGTTAAAATTTTATTATTATTGAGTAACAAGGTGATAATGAGGAATGTTACATTTCGTTGACATATAACAAATTAAACTTACAATGATGTTGAAGTATTTATTAATGTTAGTTTTATTATATTCTCACTTCTTTCAGTCATACTTTGGATGCGCGGTAGGAAAAGCGAAGCAGGCTGCCAAGACTGAAATCGAAAAGCTCAAGCTCGCCGACATGTCTGTTAAGGATCTGATCAAAGAAGCTGCAAGAATGTAAGTGAAACATCATTGCCACAAACAGCCCGAGTATACTTTATACCCTATGCTTATGTCCGAATATTATATGTTTATGAATATTGCATAATGACGTGATCATTTTGTTTAATCGTCGTCAATGGTTCCCGTCACCTTAACATTTCACATAATTATATGATATTTCACTGGAGATTCTTTCATTCATTCTTTTGGATTTTGTTAATGTGTGAAAGTAAAACTTTGCCATGTCCTCGGTATTTTGGGCGAGAGCGCCATTCTCAAATTTAATTAAAATCAAAATTAAATTTTACAACAGGATGTAAATATTTTAAAACAGTCATTAAACGTAAAACGTGATCCCATGAACAATTTTTCAAAATGCCGCTTTCGCCCTTTCTACAAAACACCGACGATGTTTTTTTTTTAAATTATAATAATAAAACTTAAAATTATAGTAATTGCACAACAATAAAAAAGTGAAAAAAAAATCTAAAATAGGACAGTACGCCTCATAATTGAATGTTGGTTTCCATAACGCTGACACAATGTGGGTTGGAGACTTCATGCATCTTTGAAAAATTTTGTTAACATTCAGGACATGCAGGTGTCATCACTATGTTTTCCATCAGATTTAAAACAAGTTCTAATTTTCGTAAGTTACAGCTGCACATGATCTGAAAACAAAGGCAAGCCTGTAAATCAAATTATATCAGTTGGTAGATGTAAAGTTGCCTGGATAAATGAAGAAAAACTTTTATAGATTTCTCACAGATGGCACTACTGCAAAAAGTCGTTGAAAATCGTAAGGTCTGCGGGTGCGTTCCGTAGCTCAGTTGGGAGACCGTCGGCCTGGTATGCTGATGGTGACGCTGGTTCGAATCCAGCCGGATCAAGGAATTTTTCTTAGTGCTCGATCTTTGTATTAATAATTATTATACATACTCCACTACTTATTAATTAGTAATTTCACAAAAAAAAATAGTTGAATATCATGATAGTAAAACATTATGATTTTCAATAAACTTCATATAGTTAGTCGTTCATGTAAGTCGTTAACACATTGCAGTATCTACCTAGTCCACGACGAACTCAAAGACAAGCAGTTCGAGCTGGAAATGTCGTGGGTGTCCAAAGAGACGAACGGCAAGCACCAGGTCGTGCCGACACAGATGGCCAGCGAAGCTGAAAACCTTGCGAAACAGGCGTTGGCCGACATTGAAGACTCCGACGAGGGAGATATGTAAAGGGTTAGATAATAAATTTTTTAAGTATTATTTTATTCTCTTTTATTTATCAGCCTTTGTTTAAAAGTAATGGGTCGCCAAATCGAAAGGATGTGTGGGATGCAACTAATAGTTATTTGTTATGCAAGGCTGCAAAGTTGTTGTTTGACGCGAGTGCTTCTATTAAAATGTAAGCCAGCGAAGGAATCTAAGATTGATGTGATTTTAAAAACAGAGTCCTGAGCATAGCGACAGTTTCAAGACACGAGACGCAACTTTGCTGCCGAGCGAAACACACAACTGTACACCCCACTAGCGAGGAAAATGGTAGATGAAAGAAAAACAATTGAACTATAACAAATCAGATTTTCATCACCACTAGACTCAGACTCGCTCATATTTTGTTTCTTCTCAATTTATTACAGCACTATCCAATCCAAAGCACTGAAGTGAACTATAAGAAGAAGAAAAAACTTTCGTTTTGGGTGCGTTCTGAGTATAAACCACATACTTTTTATTCTTCTTTGTACTTATAATTTTATGTGATTAACAAAATTATTTTAGTTCTTCGACAAATTAAAATAATTTATTCAAGCAAAATGAGTGTTATCGTTGTCAATGTAATGTCAATAATATTAAGAATAAATCATACCAACGGATGAACATTATATAAATACTTAATACTAAAGACAAATCGCGTTTCGGAATGTCACTATTTATTCAAAAGAAAAAGTTTATGTACGAATGCGTTCTGAATTTGCACCTCGTCAATTTTTATTCTTGCTTGTACTGTAAGTTTAGATTTTGTGTGATTATTTAAATTATTTTATTTTTTCCACGAATTAAAATAATTTAATAAACAAAACTAGTTATCGTTGTCAATTTAATGTCAACAATAATAAGAATAAAATATACCAACGGATTTATTTTTATTTATTACATAAATAGTGTACGTAATGTAACAAATCGCGTAGTTGAACGTGTCATTATGTTTTTTTTTCATCGAATAAAAAAGTTAGGTGCACCACTGTCCATCGTTAAGTTCGAATATCAAAAACCTTCTCCACGCTAGAGTGGAAAAAACGTTTTTGCTCCCAGATGTCTAATGAGAAAGAAAGCCTTTCCGAGCTAGTGAATAGAAAAATTATTTTCTGAACTTTGAAATAAATGCTGTAAATTGAATATACATATAGTGTATTCAATAGGTGGCATTGTGTGTTACAAACTACGTATAATTAATGAATTAACTCTTGTTAATATAGGTAGATGGCGCTAATCCTAGACAAAATAAAAGAATAGCCAATCCAAAAAATCAGTGCAATAAGCGTCATCTAGTCATTTTTTTTTTTTGTTACCACTAGAAATTAAAGTATAATTGTAGCTTTGTTAAATTAAAACAATGTAAAACAAAATTAGTTACAAAAATGCTATATGGTACTGGACGCGACATCTGGTGTACCAATAAGTACTAAATACTTGACTACGCATCTTGTATCTCGACTATTATAGTAATTGGTCCATGGCCAGAGCAAGCCGAATTCAGCCATTACTACAGCTTTTTATATGATACCATTTGACGGGACGAACAAGTCGTGCGCCTGGTGGTAAGCGACATGCCTGTCCATAGCAGTCGCAGTGCCACTCAGAGTTTCAAACGGCAAAGATCTGAGGGGCACTGCCACTGCGCGCGTCAGCCCGAGACGTAAGTTGACTAGTCCCATGTGCCTTTTTTCTTTTTTATAAAAAATAAGTGCGTATTTGACCTCCATCTCACCTGATGGTAATCTAACTTATGGATATCTAACTTATAGCGTTCTTGGAATAAGTCCGCTGATGGCGAATTCCACTCTCCAGCCTCTCGCCATATAAATGTGGTAGCGAAATGCTTCGTGCGAATCCTGGGAATATCCACAACGTAGGGGTGGAATCCTAGCCCTGGTCTAGTTCCCCGATAATGGAAAGGGGAAGGCGGAATCAAATTATGCAATTCCATCGCACACTTTCCGTGATATATCATGTAGAATACCGATAAGCAGGCAACTTTATGGCGGTGTTCAAGGCTCTGCAGCTTCGCCTCCACTAATTCCGAGTCACCTATAAGCCTCGTGACACGCTTGTCAATTGAATCCAAGGTAGCCAGTTGGTATTTAGCAGAGTAACTTCACCAGCAACATCTCAAATACGTATTTAAATATGTTATTATATTAATATCAGTCAAGCTACTAAATCAATAAAAGACCTACTGAAAAACATAAACGATTACGCTGTCCTTATACAATTAAATAGCATCAACCCTTCACAGTATATGAAATAAACTAAATAAGAACAGGCGCTTGTCACCTCTTCCATCAAAACAAGGAAAGATACTGATATATGAAGAGGCTGTTTGGTGGAACCTTTGCCTACCCAAATAAATGGCGGAAAATTTACTAAAAGAAATTACGGCAATGTTTCAAATTTTGATTTTCTTATAATTTCGTTCTCATAGAGATACTTTTTTTTAAGAAAAATGCGCCAAAATTGTACTATAAATAGTACAATTTAGGCACATTTTTTGGTACTTAAATTTGTCAGGATTCGTTTTTTTTTTTTTTTGCCCGTCTGACTCTCAACAAATTTAGTCTTATTTCTGAGGAACCAATCAGCAGGGCGAGTTGGCGCTTCTTTTAGTTTAGGGTACTATTAAATGACAATTTAAATTTTTGGAATAATGGGTATTTGTTATTGAATAAAAACAGGTAATTTGATGTGCAGATAAGAGCACGTCAAGCTTGACACTTTGTACTTTGGACCGTTCTTATTGTAAACGGCACAGAGTTGTATTTAAATCTTAAGAATCAAACTTGACGTGCTCTTTGACCCTGTACCTTTGATATTGCTATAACTTCATTTTGATGGAGGTACAATTTTTTTAAGCACGTGTACTAAATAGTATAATTTAGGTACATTTTTTTGATATTAAATTTGTCAGGATTTGTAAAATACACCCGCCATTCTGACTCTCATTGAGTTTGGGTGTCATTTGTGGTGATCTGTGTGTGTATATATAATATATGTGTGTATGTGTATATTTTCACCGAGAAGCTGTCAGTCCGAGCCTCCGCGAATATACCAGAAGCACTACAAAATTGCGACAACCCCATCAACACCCGAAACGCGTTATTGTATTGAACGTGTAGGCCGTTGTATGTCCTCTGCGTAAACTTGGCCCACAAGCTGCACAATATGTAAAAAGACTGTACAGCAGTACGCTTCCAAAAGTGTAATCTTTACCTACACAATAAAGCGCGCGAACCTGTGAGCCAGCATTTTCTATCGGACAGCCAACGACCGACGCACCCTCTCAATATCTAAATAGTCACCCTAGGTTGTCGGTTTCCCAGTGACCGGGTATTGCAATTTAGTGATAATGTTCAAAGGTACACCATAGTGTCACCGTTGGTACAGTCGGATAAGTTTTCTTGCCAGTTTTAAAAAGAATTATTTCCTTTTTTTGCGTTTTAGGTACCCGAGTACATCGTTCACAGCATACGACCTAAAGATCGTGGTAAAGATTTGATCTTTTGAATTATATTACTCTTTTATTGTAAGTTTCTCCGTGTCATTATTATTGAAAAAATAATAGGCAGTGTAACAAACCTATTAGACGGCCCTAAGCAAGAATGTTTACTTTAAGTTCACTAAAAATCCGCTAGATGGCATTGACCCATTTGACGTTAATTCTGTGTTAAGATTTGTCCCTCTTCCAGAGAACCCTCCTTACAGAATGTTACACATTTATATATTTCTTTTTACTTTAATGCATATCATTACAGTACCCTTATATATGACAACTTTGTCTTAAAAAATCATGGCCGCGTCAATTCTTCATTACCGTAGCTAGACAGATTTTTAAAAACCGTATATCGTCTTCAGTATTGATTGCATATGTTTACCTTTCAATTATTGGGGAATATGTTCAGTGCCATACTGTTTTCGAATAAAAATTAAGTTTGTAATTTGTAAAAAATTGCTCAATTAGTGCTAAATTGTAAAACCACTCATTCCACATAAATGACCAATTTATTTTCAATTTGAACATGTTTATTTTATGAATTTGCTGAAGGACAATGAAAATAAATCCATTTGGTATTCTTTGTTTGAAATTATAGGTTTATACAATTAAAGCAATTATTATAATGTCACTATAATAAAACCGCATGAATATACTGGAGGCATTTTGTGATAATTATGGCATTATTTGTTTAAGACGTATATAATACTATTTGCTGTACTCCTCTTTTGTTGTGTTTTTATCCCTTGTGCTTAAAAGCTGGGGTGTAATATCTCATAGATTGAATAGACGTCCTGAGATAGATATTATAGTGTTGTACCTCTGCAATAGGAGTTGGATCATACTTATCACCACGCTTCGACACTGTATACTCTTCTTCTTCCTGTCCTTATCCCACGCTAGGTGGGGTCGGCACTACATGTATTTTTTCTTCCACTATCAGCCGTCATTTCCGAACTCACACCTTACTATGTTCCGAGGTCTACATCGCGGCGATTATTGAAGGTAGATGAGAAGCGCTCAGACAAACGTACAGAATAGTATAATACGAGCCAACTGCAGGTAAAAAAAAATTCAAGATAGCGGACTCAAAATGGCGGCCCCAAATAAAAGTGCTCCGATCCGACTGAAATTTGACATCTAATCGTGTATAGAGGAAGCTCATGTTATGTATCTGCGAACGAAATTTAGATTCCGCCATTTTCCAAGATGGCCGCCATACAAGTGAATTTTCGGTTTTTTGATCACCATTTTTCTTCCTGAAGAAGAGCGGGTGTATAAGAGTGATGTACGCGAGTAATGGTTGGGTGGATTTGGTGAGTATCAAAAAGTACCAAAACCTTCGTAAAGTCAAGTAGGTCAAATCAAGTAGGTCCCCAGCTGCACGGGCGAAGTATACGTGTTAGCCCTAAGGTCTCCAAACAAATGTTGTCCACACCCTGGGCAGTTTCTACCGGGAGTAAAAAAAATT